TGAGTTAAAGTAGTATTTTTCAATCCAGTGCCAGCCACCCTGGTCTTAAATTTTGCCTGAAATGCCAATACCTGAGAACTTGTGTTACCTGATGGAAAGTGTTTTGGTTTGGCATTTAAAATGCCTGAGTTTTAAACCCCAGCTCTGTGTGTGTGACCTTAGGCAAACTCTTTCTAAGGACTTTAACCTTGTCTTCTGTGGAATGGGGGCTGTCAGCAGGGAGAGGGATGAACTTCGTTCTCAGCCCCTAAAGCCGGAACTGAAGCCATGGGTGAAAGTTGCAAAGAGGTTCTCCTCCATTTTACCCTGGGAAGACTAACCCCCTGGGTTGCTTTGCTCGGTTTGGGGGGCTTCATTTCCAGAAGAACATTGTCAAAGTGGAGCAGCAAAGCTGGTGACTGGCCTCCAGCTCTCGCCCCCAGAAGATTCATTGCAGACCCTACTGAAGTTTAGAACAGAAGACTCAGGGAAGACATGGGAGCTGTCTCCAAGGCTTTCAAGGTCTGTCATGTGGAACAGGGATTGGATTGCTCTGCTTAGCCCCAGAGGGCAGAACGAAGCAGTATGTTGAAGTCACAAAGAAGCAACCAAAGGCAAATTTAGGGTTGAAGCCAGGAAGAGCTCTCAGTGGCATGACAAAGTGAAATCAGCTGCCTCCCAAGGGACTGCCCAGGATCTTCCCCCTCAGCCCTCGCTGGAGGTCTATGAGCCGAAGGTGGAGGGCCACTTGCCACGTCTGTGGGGGTGGGGATTCTTTGGGATTTGGACCCAGTGGCCATGAGATCCCGCTAGCTTGGTGTCATCTGTGGATCTTTGAGCTCCAGCTTCTCACAGGGGACCCCTCCAAATAGCCCTTGTATGTTGTCAACCCATCCGGAACCAGCCTCTAACCTCGAAATGGCCTGAGCTGACCACAGCAGACCAGAGGCAGGTGTGTCAGGGATTAAACAGAAGTTTAATTAATCTCAGAGTGAGGAAAATGTTTGCAAGCAGAAGCCCACCCTCCTGTGAAGGAGAGCTTAACACACAGGCACCAAGGCAGGTCTTATATATATATATATATATATATATATATATATATATATATATATATATATATATATATATATATATATATATATATACACAAACCACAAGTGGGTGGACAACAACCCAATCATTCCTAGCTGTTCCCACAACACGGACAATGCGGGCATTCCTGGGTCCTGTGGGAACACTTCTTGCGCTGGCTGTCTTAAGTCTTCAGGGTCATTGAGCCCTGTGATTATTCAGCTGGGTGCAGAGCCAGAGTTAGTGGGGGGGGCAGAGAACAAAGATGCAGTATTTGGTTTGGTTACACAAGCAGAGGAATGCAGGAATTGTTAGCATATCAGGAGACTTTGGTAGACTGCTTTATCTGCAGCACATTAACTCTCAGGTCCCTGGGAAATAGTGGGAGCTCCAACAAATCTAAGCAGTTATGGCTTAATATGAAAATCATAAATCCCTCAGTGAACACCTGGTGCCGGTCAAAGCAATACATTTTACCAAAGGGTGAGATCATCCAGAGAGCAAAGGATTGTTGTTATGTCAGGGCATAGCCGCTTCCTGGGCCTTAGCTCTGGGTGTCTCCAAATACCTAGACAGTATCTACAAGGACAGATCAGTAATCTGCAAGCCTACTCACTCATTCTTCTCTCTGATGGAGCCCATAAGTCGTGGGCCTGCCCTATAGAATGCATCCCCAGCCCTGGTACCTGTGGGGCCCCTTTGCATCCAGGGGACCCAAGAACCTAAGTTCTCTGAAGTCCTTTCCAGCTCCATCTTCTTTGGTATCATTTCATTTACTTCAGATGCACTTCAAACCCTAACTCTGGGGGTAGTGTTCACTCTAAAATTAGAGTTACACAGGCATTGAAGCAGACACTGCTGACTACTGAGAGAAACTCCTGCTGTGGCTCAGTGCAGACTCAGGGTAACTGTGTGCCAGGCCATTGGCCAACGCAGCAGACCGGGAGGACTTCGTCTAGTCAATATGCATTTAATGAAGGCTTTCTGTGTGCTCAGGACTCTGAGGGGGTACTTGGGATCAAAGGAAGGAGAGGAGCTTATTCCTTACTGCCCTCAAGAAGCTTACACTCTACCTGGGGGGACACCCTAAGCCCAAGCATTGACATAAGAACAGTAGCAAAGATGGTACACACTGGTGTGAAATAATTGTGCTCCACTTAAGCTGACATCTTTTATTTAGTAACTTCAACTCTCTGGAATGTGCCTGAAGCAAATGAAATAGGATCAAAGATGGTAGAACTAGAAGGGACTTCAGAGAACACCAAGTCCAGTTCCCTTGTTTGGTAGAAGAGGAAACTGAAGCTCAGAAAAGTGACTTGTCCAAGGTCACACAACTGTCACAGAATTTGAGAATTAGAAAGGCCTTTGGCAGCATCTAGTACAAGCCCTAAACAAAGGAATCTCTGCCATGACTCTCCTGACAGGTGGGCATCCAGCCTCTTCCCGGAAACCCCCAACACCTCTAGGGGAGCCCATGACACTTTTGGCCAGCTTTCATTTTTACAGAGTGTTTCTTGCCCCACTCCCAGTCCTGACATCAAGCCTCAGTTTGTCTCTTTGCATCTTCTACCCATTACTATTGGCTCTGCCCGCCCCCATGTGAGAATCTGACCAATAATTGAACACAGCTAACAAGTAAAGGGATTTGAACCTAAGGCCTCTTCTTCCATATCCAGCATCCTTTCACAGCCGTCTCCACATGTCCAGGGGCATCTAAAAACAGAAGTTGACAAGACCATGTCCTAAAGCTCAAGCACCTTATTTACAGAAGAGCCCCTTGGACCCTCACTTAAGACCTTTTTTTTTTTTTTGGACACAATTTTAACAAAATATCTAGGTAGTTTCCCAGCCCATGTAGATTGGAGCCAGCAACTTTGAAAGATCCGATAGCTAGCAGAAGCAGGGATGGCAAGAATATTAAAAAGTGATGGATCCATCAGGCCAAAAAAGAAACTATAAAAATCTGGCATGAGAAGACGGAGCCCTAGGGCAGAATAAGGACTTGTAATTTCTGGATTGAGGGCTATCCCCAGTCCCTGAGCCCTCCCCCATACTCATAGGCTGTTAAGGAGTATTGCAGCACAGAACCATAATTAATGTCCCTAGTGGTGACCCTGAGCTAGGGATAGAGCTAGACCTGGGCCGCATGACCCTGGGCAAATCACTTAACCTGGGTCTACCTCAGCTTACTCATCCTTAAAATGGGGATAATAATAGCACCTATTTCTCAGGGTTGTTGAGAGGACCAAATAAGATAACATTTGTAAAGAGCTTTTCAAACCTTAAAACACTATATAAAACTAGCTACTATTATCACCCACAAGTAGAATAGTACTCATAGCTCGCATGTAGATAGCTCTTTAAGATTCACAAAGAGCTTCAGAAATTGTAGGGAGCCCAGGCCTTATGGAAAATCTCTAAGTCCTTATAGACTTAAGGGGTCAGTATGTATAGAGGCTTGCCTCGGGATAAACGTTCCCTTGACTCTTGCCCCAATTCCACTTGTTATAGTTTGTTGATTCTAAATTCTTATTCATGCCTAGCCTTGAGGCCAGGTGGCTGACTAGGGCAGATAATACTAAGAACTGGGCAGGGAAACAATAGACAGGAAATTTGGCATTAAAACTACTTTCTCAAGAGAAAATGAGGATCCTTAACCACTTAGTTTGTGTATGTTATGAATCAGCGCTTATAGATCATTTCTCATGGTACAAAGCTGTTTTTCTACGGGTATACAATCAGAAAATTGCTGAAATAAACTAGTCTTGAGCATTAATCTCAGACTCGCCTAGCCCAACTTTTCTTTCTCCATTTCCCCTTCCCCATTGTTTTCACCGCTCTGTCTTGCACCACGTCGGCCGCTGGCAACAAGTGTTATCTCATAGACCCTCACAACTACCCTGGGTGGCAGGTGCTGTTGTTATCCCCATTTTACAGATGAGGAGACTTGTCCAAGATTGCAGGGCTTAGTAAGCATCTGAGGCTGTATTTGAACTCAGGTCTTCTTGATTTTGCTCCTAGTACTCTTTCTGATGTGCCACCTAGCTGATATAGATTGGAGTAGAGGTCAACACCCCCCCAACCCCCAAAAAGAAAAAAAAAGCAACCAGGATCATGTGATTTGGGGGGGGCGGGGAGCTCAGAGACCAAAGAATCCCCCTCCCTCATCTGGTAGATGGCCCAAGGCAGTAAGGAAGAGAACTGGGATTTGGACTCAGGTTCAGAGTACATTATTTGATGGGATAGATGCCTGAGGGACAGCTGTGGAAATGAAGAGGAAGACTCATGGGGGTGTGGGACTGCCCCTCCCTGGTGTCCTAGTTCATGGTGTCCTTGACTCCATCTCGACCATCTCCACCTCACCCCATCAGGTTGCAAGCTTCCTGAGAGCAGAGCTACCTCTGTGTGCCTCTGTCTCTGCAACCTCAGGGTCCCCCACTGGGAGAAAGGACTTCAGAAATATTTGTAGAGTTGGTGGTTGGATATGGAGGGCAAAGGAGAGGAAGGATTCAGCCACAAGTCTCAGAGGAGGTGCCTGGAGAGCTGGAAGGCGAATGGTGCCCCAGACAATAAGAAAAATGGAAGGGGGAGACCAGAAATTATTCCCAACATGCTGTGTTTTTGTTGTTGCCTGGTACCAAGTCTTTGCTCTGCACGGCTGCCAGAGGAGGATGGGAATCTAGACTCCAGCGATTTGCTGAGGAAATCTGGGTAGCAAGTTCTAGGGAATGTGACTTGGGCAGGAAGCGTGACTTCCTGGAGCTTTCAACGTCTATTTCTCTCTTTTTCTTTTTCTTTTGAAAAAACAAACTTAATCATCATTTTAAAAAGCACACAAACAAATGCACAGAAAATAAGGAATAAAACCATGCAAAGAAAATGAAATTCTGGTGCCGAGGATGAGCTTCACAAATCCATCTGGGACAAGCAACATGAAACTTGACCTCAAATCAAATTAGGAAGCAAATTCATTTGAGGAATTAGGAAGAGACCCTGGGATACAAGGAGTGGGAGATGTAACAGGAGGAGATAGAAACGTTGGAACAACATGCTACAGCCAGGAAGGTTGTGGGTGGGATCAGAGCAGAGGGGGTGGAACTGAGGCTTGAAGAAGCTGACCAGGGGTGAGGCCTGTATTGGGGGGGAAATGAGTCATCTGGTAGCTTTTGATTTTGACTTGGTGTCACTAATTAGATGCAGGTGCTTCTCTGCTGCCAAAAGAATGTAAACTTTATTGGCACCTTCTAAATGCTGGTGCCCTGAGACAGAGTCCCAGTCACCCTGCCTTGGTTACAATGTGCATCTTAACCAAATAAAATCAAAACAGAGCAACCAATAACAAACAAAGGAAATAATTGCTCTATGTGCCCTTCGGAGTCCCTCAGAGACTCTGTTACCTTGAGCTTTTTTTTTTCTTCCCCTTTTTCTTCCTCTTAGTTTTGTCATCAGTGCGGAGGCAATTCTGGCTCTGCAGCGTCTCTTTCTACAAGTATTCGGTAGCTCTTTGAATTGTTCACATATGTCATCTTTACATTGCCATCATATTTCATCATGTTAAAATATCCGAATTTATTCAGCCTTTCTGTAGTCATTGAACATGTAGGTTGTTTCCAGTTCAGGTGTTGCTGCCGTGGTTTTTGGTTATTGTTCTGTTATTACAAATAAAGCAATTGTGAATGTTTTCATAGAGCTAATTCCTTCAGTCCTCCCACCACCTATAGGGTAAAGTCCTAATGATGTTTGTTCTGAGTCAGAGTAAGATCAGTTCGTCGGCTCTCACTATTTCTTCATTATATATTCTACATAACACACATACACATACATATGCATTTTTTCATTATATATTCTTCAGCAAGTTTGCATCTAGTTGTCTCTAGTCCCATCAACAATGTGGGTTGTACAGAGGTGACCAGAGTCAGCTGATCTTAGAATCAACATCAACCTGAGCTTAATTTTTCCTTAGATGTTTATCAGTTCTGTTAACTATGAGCAAATTACTTAACATTTCTGAGCCTTCTTGTAAATACTGCAAGATAGCCACATGATCAAATGATCTGTGATTTCTTTGACGTCGGCCTTCCTTCTATGGTAACAGATTAGAACCTATGCTAACATTTGTGTCTTGTGAGATTTATGGCTGTATTCTGCAACAGATCAGAGAAACATACAATGTTCAATTTGAAAAGGGTTTCAGAGACCATCCAGCCCCACCCCGAACAAGGCACCTTGGTAGCACTTATGCGGAGGGTCCTGCCCTCAATTATTCCACATTGCATGAGTCTCAGTACTACACAACTTGCCCATCTCAGCAACTGTGTGACCATGGACACCAACCTCTCTGAGCCTCTTTCTCTTCACCTATAAAATAGGAATAAAAATACCTCTAGCACTTACCTCCCCAGGTCGTTGGGAGGTTCAAATGAGATAATGGATATAACATGCTTTGCAAACGTTAAAGTCTTATTTGAATGTCAGTTGTTATTAACGGAAAGCCTGTTGCCCAGCCAACATTGAATTTGATCATTTTTGCTGTTCTGGTGGGTAGAAGACATTATCTTTAAGCTGTCTCAATTTGCATTTATCAGATACTTGGAGACCTCGAGTGGCTTTTTTACATGGTCATTAGCAGTTCGCATTTCATTCTTCAAAAATGATCAGTTTTATTCTTTGACCATTGCATCAGAGAGAGTGTGCATGAGTCTTACAGATATGTGTCAGTTTCTTATAGGTTCTAGAAATGAGGCCTTCAACTGACAGATCAACATAAATTTGTTTTTTCCCAATCTGTTCTCCTTTTTAAATTTTAGAAGTATTACTCTTTGTTGTTGTTGTTTCATGCATCAGTTTCCTCGTTCATTCATTCAACAAACATTTATTGATCTATGTGCCAGTCACTGTATAGGGTGCCAGGGATACAAAAGAGGAAAAAGATCTATCCCTATGGTCAAAGAGCTTACAATTGAATAAGGCAGATGAGACCTGTACATGTAAATATCAGACAAGTTTCCAATGAGTTCATCAGTCACAGACTCATGACATCAGCCCACCACAGTGGGGTAGATTAATACATGACTCTAGACACAAGCCCGGGTTGGCTGCCAGGCATGGATGTTAATTAATCTGGATACTTTAATGGTGGTTTCATAGACCCATTTCCTTTTGTCCTGGTGAGCTGTTTCCTTGTTTGTAATTTCTATTCTGCATTAATAAAGATGCTATTTATTCTGTATACATCTTACACATATTTGTGTATTTACATGTACACCTAGTCTTAATCACTGAATAAGCTTTGCCTTAGTCAAACTGAGACACGTTAAAGACCTTAGCTTAAATAGGTCAGGGTCTCCACTGCATGCGGGAGCCATCTCCAGTCATCCTGATTTATATTTTGTCCCTTGATCCAGCTGGCTCCAGAGGAGAAAGTGAGGCTGGTGACTTTGCCCAGACCTCCCTCACTGAAATCAATTCACTTGCATGTCATGGCATCACCTCACTGATGTCATGGTCCTCTTTGAGAACAAAGAACAAACAGCAGTATGTATACATACACCTGCTGTCTCTCCCATTACACTCTGAGCTCTTGTGGCCAGGGCCCGTGTCTTTGCTTTTCTTTACATTCCCAACACTCACCGCAGCATCTGATGAATAGTAAGCACTTAATAAATGCTGTCACTGACTGATTGACTGATTTCATTATGCTCATATCTATTTCTCCCCCACCTGGGAGAAGAAAGAAACATCCTATCTAGCCAAGGCAAACACGCAGCCTTGGTGCTGGGCCCATTCAACACTTTCCCAAATGGCACACAGGTTAGTATAACAACAGACAGGTGGATAGCTTCAAGCTGTCATATATAGGCATGATCTCGTTAGAGATTCGCAGCGACCTAATGAGACAAGTGCTGAGATGCAGAGAAAAATGACTTGCCCAGGATCACACAGTTATTAAGTATCACAGGTGAGACCTGAACCCAAGTCTTCCTGCCTCTGTGCCCAGCACTCGAGCAGAAGGAATAGCTCTTTCTCATGCAGGTACGCTCATTCTGTTTTCGTGGTGGTTGTTGTTTTAACTTTCAAGATGCTACATCTTCTGTCCCCATTCTCCCAATTGTTCAGTCGTGTTCAGCTCTTTGTGACCCCATTTGGGGTTTTCTTGGCCAAGAGACTGGAGTGTTTTGCTGTTTCCTTTTTCAGCTCATTTTAGAGATGGGGAAATGGAGGCAAGCAGGGTTAAGTAACTTGCCCAGGGTGACATAAGTAGTAAGTATCTGAGGTCACATTTGAGCTTGGATCTTTCTGGCTCATGGTCCAACACTCTATCCACCAGCTGACTGGGGCAAAAAGAATCCTCCAGTAGTCCTCAGCTCAGAGAATGCTCAGTGAGTACGCAAATGCCCAAGAGAGCCTAAAGCCTCTGAGACAGACAGACAGACATTCACAGACATAGAGAGAGGGGAGAAGAAAAGAGACAGAGAGACAGAGAAAGAAACACAGAGAGAAGAAAAGAGACACAGAGAGAGGAAGAAGAGAAGAGAAGAGATAGAGAGAGACAGAGAGAGGAAGAAGAAGAAGAAGAAAAGGAAGAAGAAGAAGAAGAAGGAAGAAGAAGAAGAAGAAGAAGAAGAAGAAGAAGAAGAAGAAGAAGAAGAAGAAGAAAGAGAAGCGAGAGACAGAGATAGAGAGACAGAGACAGAGAGAGAAAGAGAGAGAGGACCAGGGTCACTCCCAGGTTGGAGGATCCAAGACTTTGTCCACCCTTTGGTGGGTGACCCTCAGCAAGGCTCTTCAACTCTGTGCTCCAGGTTACAAAAGTGGGAAAAAGTGTGGGCCAGGAAGAGAAAGGGCCAGATCTGGAATCAGAAGACTTAAGTTCTAATCTCACCTCAGACATTTCCTAGCTGTGTGATGTTGGACAGATAGCATAACCTCTCTGAACTCTTGTTGCCTTATCTCTAAAATGGGGGTAAATATTAAGCCCCGCAGTCTCCACCTCCCAGGGTTGTTTGATAGCTCAAATGAGACAATGTATACAAAGCATTTTGCAAATCTTAAGGGGTCATATCAGGAATTGTTTAGTGTTCAGTGTGAATTGGAAATATAGTAAAAGCACCTGCTACTAGGACTGAGTAGTTGGAGAAAGAAGAATTTTAAATGATGTTAGAAGAGCTTTGTAAGAGCTAGTATTTAGTGATATCCATGGTTTGTTTGCTGGTTTTAGAGTTAATAAAGGCAAGGGATCAGAGATTTAGAGTCAGAATAGAGCTTAGAGGCCATCTACTGTAACTTTTTCATTTGACAGATGAGGAAACTGAGGTCCCAAAATGTTAACTGACAATTATACAGGTAGTACAGGACTGCAGCAGCTAGGAGGCACTACAGTGGATAGACTGCTTAGCCAAAATCGAGAAGACTCAATTCCCTGAGTTCAAATCCAGCCTCAGACACCAACTGTGTGACCCTGGGTGAGTCACTCTATCCTATTTGCTTATTTCTCATCTGTAAAATGAGCTGGAGAAGGAGATGGCAAACCACTCCAGTATCTGCCAAGAAAACCCCAAATGGGGTCATGGACGTAACTAAAAAGCAACTCGACAACCACAATGGATCTTCTATGAATTTTGTTATCTGATTTTATGGGGCTCTGACTGCTGCATATAGTTTGATAGATGAGGTTACTGAGGTAGAGAGAAGGCAAGTTCCTTGTCCACGGTAACACAGGTAGTAAATGACAGGCACAGGATTCAAACCCAGGTCTTGTGACTTGAAATCAGCTCCTTTGCCCTATACCAAACCCCCAAGTGTTGTGTGAGAAAAGTACTATCTGAATGTGGGTTAATCAACCTGAAACCAGAGTCTAGCCCCAAAGCCCAGGCAAAGAGATTTTAAAATGTGACAGTGGTGCCCCCATTGGGGTTACCTACCCAACTTGCAATCTAAAAAATATTTAATTAATTTGTTTAGAGGTAGTGGAGAGAGTACAGGGCCCATAGTCAAGAAGATTTGAGTTCAAATCTAACCTTAGACTGTGTGGGAAATTTCATTGTACAATTATTACGTTGTTCAGGTAAAATTATTTTACTGCTTAAATCCAACCTAGGTGATTAAAGGTTGTCCACACCCAGAACGTCATCTGACCCTAGTAACTCTCTAGGAATGTTGGCTCCACACAAAGTGTGCTTGTTCTGGGGTCTCCACACCCACTTCTTGTTCGGGGTTCATCCAGATTTCATTGGATGTTTGCAGCTCCTCGAATCTATCTCAATCTTGCTTTCAAGTTCTCTCTTGGCAACTTTGCTTCACTACACACATGTGGTTTGCGTGCAGCCACCCTTGTCTAAATTCTACATAATATACGCCTTTCAGAGACCAGACGAGAGGGAGCCATGCCCCCTTTCCAGCTCACCCTTCTCTACCAAATGACCTAACAAATTTCTTTCTAAAACTATTTCAGATTTTGGGGTTTGTTCTAGAAAACAATAATATATTTACTAGTTGTGTGACTCTGAGCAAGTCACTTAACTCATCTGCCTTAGTTTCCTCAATTATACAATAGGAATCACATTAGCACCTACCTCACATAGGTGTTTGTGAGGTTTAGAGATAATTTTTGTAAAGTGCTTAGCACAGTGCCTGGCATATAGTAGGCACTATATAAATGCTACCTACTGTTGTTGTTATTGTTTATGGGTAGCGATAGTGAAATGAATTGGTTCTCTACTAAGGGATGCCCTCCCCCTCCTCAGCACAGTAGATGATGTCTCAGAAGGAGGCAGAAAGGAGAGGTAATTAGGGGTGGGATCCTTAGCCACAACCTCCTGAATGTGTTTGGCACTAGATGAAAATGTTAGCAAGAAATGTTTAACAAAAAAAAAATACAATACAGATCATGTTAATTTGTGTTTTTCTAAGTCAGTATGAGTGGCAGAGATCCCTTTCTATTTGAGTTTGACACCACTGCTGCAGAGGATGGCTACTACATCAGGTTCAAAGGCACTCTGTGGGTCGGTAGTCCTTACACTATAGCACTTGAGCCCCCACCAGTGTGCTTCAATAGTCAAAATTAACACAATCAGTAAGCATTTATTAAGCACCTACTGTGGTAAACACTGGCATAGAGAAGGTGCTTAATAAATGCTTACTGACTGACTAAGCTAATTGCATCTTTGTTCAAAGCAAAAGCATTTACTAAAATGGCTTAGAAGAATGTTTACAAATATTCTCATTTAATTGAGGTACATTCTCCCACAAAAACACACAATGTCAGTGGGAAGAGTGGACACCAACTTGGAGTATGCTAGCTGGCACAGATATAGGGAACACATGTGGGCAAGACAATTCAAACCTCCCTGATGTCCTTTTCTTCTCACAATGTTGTCATTCTGCTTCCCCTTGGGCACAGTAACTTTTGCTCGGAATATGTTGCTTAGCTTTACACCCTGGACCTATTCCTCTTCATGAGTCAAATCACAACTGCCAGGTCTAATTCTCCCCTGGATCTGTGGTTGGTTCTCTTCTCTATGGCCAGAGGTCATGCTCCTTCAGGTTTTTCCCTGCTTGTCTAATAAATATTTATGGAGTTCAGATCTCTTGGAGATCAGTGCTTCTGGAGGTGGCCGATTGCAGTGGACAGGGTGCTGAATTTGAGAGGACCTCTGCCACTTAATACCTACCTCTTTGGGCCTCAGTTTCCTTTTCTGTAAAGTGTGGTGGTGGCCTCTGAGATCCCTTTCAGCTCCAAATCTATAACCTTATGATTCAAGCGTGGTTGCATGAGTTAATAAAGTAATAATTATTCACTTACATTTGGGAAGAATGTCTTCTCCACCAATGAGTAAATGATTCAGCCGGTATCACAACTCTCCCAGTGGGGGTTTTAATGTCTAAAGGTTACAGTCTATTTTGCACACCACAGTAACACTATGAATTGACATTTTTATACTGCTTCGAGGTTTGCAAAGCATCCTACCTAAATTATCTCATCTGATTTTTGCAACAACCCTGTAGTGTAGGGGCTATTTTTTATTATCTTACATATGAGGAGAGTAAGGCCAGATGTGCCCAAGATGCCATACCCTTTTCTGACTTTAGGACCAATGCACTATACAATATACCATACTGCCTCTCTTCCCTTGATAAAAATATTTTCCATAAGCTGACTTAATTCTCTGTTCTGCCCTTCATTTCCTCCTCCTTCGAAGTTACATTAACCTAATGAAAACTCATTGTCTCTAGGTATTCTTGATGCTAAGAGAAGCTGGTTCAGAGACAGGCTTGTTTTCAATTTCAGAAAGTGAGCTCACACTTTAACAGACATCAGAGACAGAGCAAATAAGTTACAGTTACCTCCCAGAAGCGCTAATTTAATCTCAAAATGAAATTTGCAGTTACCTTGGATCAATGGGGAATTACACTGAAGTAATCAGGATGTTTCTCTTTTGATTATAGCAACACTAAACAAGTTGTAACAACTGCAGGGGGAGAAGAGAAATTAACACACGGGTGAAATAAACAATTCAGCAACTGGTTAACTAGATACAACTCAGAGGGCCCCTCTTTCCATTTCTGAAATCAGGGTAAAGAGAATGTGTAAAGAGATTGATTAAAATGGAGAATGCTGAAGCCAGAGTGTCAGGGTCCCATGACCTCTGACTGTTACGTCAGATAGGCTGTCATACAGCCTACATAAGAGAGTAGATAGGTCCACCTGAGGAGCCCTCTAGTTCTAGATTTATTTTCTTATAATTCTATAACTGAAGTATTATCAAGGGAACAATTATCAATGAGCACATGCTACAGCAACATCACTAGTCAAGCCCTCTGTTGCATACTGTGCCTCTAGACACATACAGACAATAATACAGCATACAAGTCTCTCCCTCAGGGACACCCACAACAGGGCAGCACAAAAACGGACATAGGAAAAGGTACTTGGGTGACCAAATTCTCCAGGGTTGCATTTTTCTGCCATTCGCAGACTTCACCTGGTTCTTTTGCTCATGGTCTTATCAGCTGGGCGGTATGGGTCCAGTGTAAAAAATACCAGTCCCAAAGTCTAGGCTCGCTTTGCATTTGTAAGCTGGCTACAAGAAATCTCCGGGTGAGAGAGAGACCGGTGCTCTCATAAAGTCTGAGGGTAGCAGGTACTGCCTCCTTCTTGCATGTGCGGTTGCTTCACTTCCCTAACAGTGGTAACAAAATGTTTCTGAGTTCTCTTTTAGATGTAGGTCAACAGGACTGATTTTAGAATATTAAGGAATAGGGGAAATACAGTAATGGTAAAGAGGAACCAAAGAAAGCCTATGGAGAACTTTTGCAAGTGTGAACTTGCCAAGTCTGGGTACTGTAGGCTCGGGATTCTGCAGGCAGGGTTATCCTAAGAATTAGGTGACATGTAACAAAAGTATAAATCAACAGACGTTTGTTAAATGCCTGCTCTGCATGGAGCACGACATGAGGAAGTAGCCTCTACTTGGTAAGCAATTGTTTGTATTCTTCTTTAGTCATTTAGTTGTGTCTGTCCTTTATGAACCCATTCGGGATTTTCTTGGCGGAGATACTGGAATGGCTTGCCGTTTCCTTCTCCAGCTCATTTTACAGATGAGGAAACTGAGGCAAACAGGGTGAAGTGACTCACCCAGGGTCAGTCACACAGCTCCTAAGTGTCTGAGGCCAGATTTGAACTCAGGAAGAGGAGTCTTTATGACTCCAGGTCCAGTGCTCTGTGCACTGTGGTACCACCTAGCTGCCCTGGTAAGCAATAAAGTCATGGATAATCTTAATGCTAACATGTATATAGCACCTACTATGTGCCAGTGCTTTGCAAATATCTCATTTGATTCTCACAACAACTCTGAGAGGAAGGTGCTGTTATTATTCCCATTTTACAGGTGAGCAAACTGAGGCAGACAGTGGTTAAGTGACTTGCTAGTAAGTATCTTTGGTCATATTTGAATGCAGGTCTTTTCAAAAAAAATTTATTTATTTTTAGTTTTCAATATTCACTTCCATAAGATTCTGAGTTTTACATTTTCTCCCCCTCCCCAAGATGGCATGCAATCTGATATAGGCTCTACTTATACATTCATATCAAGCATATTTTCCCATTAGTCATAATGTATAGAAGAATTAGAACTAATGGGAGGAACCACGAGAAAGAAATAAAACAAAGCAACAAAAGAAAAGGAGAGCCAATAGTCTGCTTCCATCTGCATTCAGACTTCCTGGTTCCTGACGTGGACAGCCTTTTCCATCATGAGTCTTTTGGACTCATGCACTATTCACTATGACACCCAGCTGCCCCATTGAAGAGGTATGAGCAGAGGAGTGACCTGATCAGATCTCTGGGGAGGTCCAGAGATGACTGTTCATTTTGTGTCCAACTCTCTGTGACCCCATTTGGGATTTTCTCAGCAAAGATCCAGGAATGGTTTGCCATTTTCTTCTCAAGTTCATTTTACAGATGAGGAAACTGAGGCAAACAGTGTGAAGTGACCTCTCCTTGTTAACTGCATCACCCAAGTAATAAGCATGTGACTTTGCATCCCCTTCCCTCCGCCGTCTTTTCATCCAGCACTTTCTCAATTCAAGTCTCCCTCTGAGGCCGCCCCTGGGCTTGGGGGTCACAAGCTCTAGCAGCTCTTTTCAGTCTGGGAAGCCTTCTGGGCCCAGGCCGGTGCAGGCAGTCTGTGTGTCATTCTAGGATCAGTTAGGGAGGCTGAGTATGGAGACCCTCCTCTTGACGTTAGCTACTGGTCATGACATTTTAGTCCAAGAATACTTCAGAAGCCTTCAACTAAAGTCTTAGAGGGTGATGGATGGAGAGCTGAGTTCAAGTCCTAACTCTGATGTATAGTCCAACCCCTCCATTCCCTGCCTCTTCCTGCCAATTCTCAAAAACTCTCAATTTCAGGCAAGCTGCAGATGTGCATAGGTCAGCTAGGTGGTGCAGTGGATAGATCACTGGACCTGGAGTCAGGAAGACTCATCTTCTAGAGTTCAAATCTGGCCTCAGACACTTACTAACTGTGTGATCTTGGACAAGTCACTTAACCCTGTTTGCCTCAGTTTTCTCCTCTGTAAAATGAACTGGAGAAAGAAATGGCAAACTGCTCCAGCACCTCTGCCAAGAAAACTCCCCCAAAGGGGTCACAAATGATTGGACACAACTGAGCATATTCCTTTTCTTGTTAAGGTCTTCTGTTCCTATGAGTTGGTTCAATACTCACTTCTATATAGATGAGTCCCAAAACAATATTCCCCACTTTACTGTGTCACCTGACCATATCACTCAATGCCTAATGTATGTCTATACCTGTTTGCCCCTACTTTCCTTCAAAGCTGGCTCAGCATTGTACACGGCAACAGCAACATTGTGTGATGACCAGCTTTGTTAGACTTAGCTCTTCTGAGTAATGCAGTGATCTAAGACAATTCCAAAAGACTCATGATGGAAAATGCTATTCACATTCAGAGAAAGAACTATGGAGTCTGAATGCAGATTGAAACATACTATTTTCTCTTTCTTTTGTTGTTTTTTGTTTCTTCTTTCTCATGGTTTTTCCTTTTGGTTCTGATTCTTCTTCAGAACATGATTAATGTGGGAATATGTTTAATAGGATTGTACATGTACAGTCTATATCACATGGCATGCCATCTTGGGGAGAGGGGAGTGAAGGGAGAGAAGAAAAATTTAGAACTCAAAATCTCATAAAAGTGAATGTTGAAAACTAAAAATAAAATAATTAATTAAAAAAAGAAAAGAAAATTGGCTCAAGGACTCCTTTCTATACAAAGTCTTTTCCCAGCTGCCACCGCTTCTCTGCCCCCCCCAAGTCCCTCATATTTATTTTGTATATGCTTGTATCTGTACATGTTATTTCCTTTAACAAAATATAAGCTCTTTCGGCAGCTAGGTGGTTCAGTAGATAGAGCACCAGACTTGGAATCAGGAAGATCTGAGTTCAAAACTAGCCTCAGGCACTTGCATCTATGACTCTGAACAAGTCACTTAACCCTGTTTGCCTCAGTTTCCTCATCTGTAAAATGAACTTGAGAAGGAAATGGCAAACTACTCCTGGCTCTTTGCCAAGAAAACCCCAAATGGGGTCACGGAGAGTGGGGCACAAAATAAACAAGGGACTCCTTCATTTCTGTCTTGGATCTGAACCTGGATTTAAATCCAAATCTAGATTAAGTGACTTGCTCAAGGTCACATAGCCAGTAACAGGCAGAGCCAGGGTCTGAATCTAGTTCCACTTACTCTGATTCAGCTCTTTCCACTAGATCCCAATTAGACAATCTAGTTCAAATTTTGGACCATTCATGTACCAGATATACTTCTCATGTCTTATATTTTACATGTGAAAAGTATAGTTTCTACTGGTTCTGAAACTATCTAAAATATTGATTGGAAAGTTGAGAGAATTCCTGAAGCAACAAATACTATTTTCTCAGAAAAGGAGCCCCTCTGAAGACTGACAATAGTGTGAGAACCTAGAAAAGGGAATGCAACAGCTGGAGAAGCAGAATCCCAGGAACTGTTTTTTTCCAGTTTGGAACCAGTGATTTACCCCCTTTAGACTTTTAGATTGTTACTTTTAAAAACAAAACTCAGTGGAGAATGCTAATTTTAGAGCATTAATAAGCTTGTTCAGGAATAATGAGCTGTTCGTGGGGCCAAATTTTGGCGGGGGGGGGGCGCGGAGTTTGGCCATTTTTTTTAAAGGGCCAGAGACTGTCACCTGGTTTATAAGAGAAAATGTACAGTGACTACCTGGTGCTTTTCGGTCTCCTTTGGACAGGTAGGGCACAGTCCTGGAAAAGCATAATCTTGACAAGAAAGCATTCCATTATGAGGAAATCATTACACAGACACACACACACACACACACACACACACACACACACACACACACACACCCCAGGCATTCTATGCTATTCCCATCAATGCTGTCACGTAAATACTTCCCTTTGGGATATAAGCCCTCCCTTTCCCCAACAGCCGGCGGTGGCAGGATTCCCAGTGAGTACCCAGAGGAAGAGATTTAGTGACAATAGAAAGCGGGGGAGAGGGGGGCAGAGCCAGACAGAGAGACAAAGAGACAGACAGAATCAGAGATAGACAAGGGGTGGAGATGGACAGAGGAGTGGGAGAGGGAAGAAGGAAGGTTTTCCTTCCTTATATAATGAAAAGAATCCCACAGCGATTGTTCAAAGACTCGAGGTGAGATAAGGCAGAGCTTAAACCCGGGTAGACAGAGGGGTGGAAGTGGGGGGCGCCAGGGGTGGTGTTAGAGTTAACCCTTTGGGGGGAGAGAGAGAGAGAGAAACAGAGACCGCGTGCACGCACATTACTTGCGCTCTATAAGGAGGTACAGCACAGGACTTCCCGAAGGTGGGGAAGTGGACTTCCGATCCTAAAATCCTTTGATTTGAAATCTGCCGATGCCGGCAGCCTGTCCTTGGTGAACTTGCCCACTTTGGCTACTCAGGCACGCCCTGGTTTGTCCTTACCTCGATCCCTTCCGCATGGGGGTGAAGGAGGCATCACAGCTCAAAACTAAAGTGTCCTGGAGAAAGCAGGAATGGGAATGGGAATGGGGATAAGGAGACTGACTCCAGGAAGGGAAGAACCTTGCCTCCAGTAGTGAAACGGAAGTTCCATTGCCCCTCCCTCCTGTCCTCTTCCCCCCGCTTGGGTAGTGGGGGGATCTTTTGAGGTTTGTAAATGCCTTAGGCACATCTGGATTTTCCTTCCTGCCCCCCAACTAGCCTATGAGCTGCTGGACACACCATCCTATTGATCTCCCTCCCTTGTCACACGTGCGCGCGCACACACACACAGACAGAGTTTTTACAGGGTAAAGCGACTCTCAGATCTGAGCCAGTGGCCCCCACATCTTCATTCTTTCGAATCTCTTTCGCCACATCTGTTGCTCCCTCTGTGCCCACAGCTGCCTACCCCCTAATTCTCCCTCTTGCCTCCAGTTTTATCACATCATTTCCCGTCTCAACAATCTGCCCGCGCATCACCTCTGGATGCCACATCTGGCCCTGGGGATATTCCAAACGTTCTCTTCACCCCGAACAACTCTTCTGGCCCATATCTGTCTCCTCCCTCTACATCTGTCTCTCTGGTGGCCCCTCTTTCCCTAAGAGGGATAACCCTACCCCCAAACCTACCCCTCCAGCCACGTACAGTGAAAAGAACACTGTGCCTGGACTCAGAGGCCCTGGGTTCAAATTTCACCTCTGATGCTCACTTCCTGGGTGATCGCTTCACCTTTGTGGGTCTTAATGTCCCAATTTGTGCAATGAATGGACTGGACTATGTGGCTTCCGGGGTCCCTACCCGCTCCGGATCTAGGATCCTGCGATCCGCGGACCCCTACTCCACCTCCTCCACCTCTGCCCCTACCTGACCCCAGGGAGAGGCCAGAGCTCCCTGTACTCCGTCATGGAATCCTCTCGCCCCTCCTTCCTTATTGGTGGCAGAGCGCGTGCCTCGGCCCCACTGGGTGCTCGGGCCCCGCCCTCGGCCCCGTGGGCCCCCGCCCCCAGTCTGTCGGGCTCCGCCCTCCCCAGCCCGCCAGGCCAGGCTGAGCTTGCAAAGAAGTTGTGGCCAAAGCCAGGGGCGCTGCCTGGGAGTTGGCTGCCCGCGCTGGCACTGCTGGCCCCGCTGGCGTCGTCGGCCCCGGGTGCGAGAGGGGCGAAGCGCGTGGCTCGGCCCGGCTGAGCCGAGAGGGGCAGTGGCCACGGCCGCTGGGCCGGGCCCCAAGTCCAGGCAAGCTACGATGGCCAGAGGCGCGCGCCTCCTCGGCTGCCTTCCTGCCAGGCGCTTTTAACCTTGGCCTCGGCGGGCGCCCGAGGCGGCTACGGGCAGGCAGGTAAGCGGGGGCCCGGGACGGTGTCGGGCTTGGAGTGGGGGCTGGGTGAGCTGGGAACGGAACCAGGGCCCGCGCCGGGGCCAAGACCCAGGCACAACCAGGCTCGATCCGGGCTGAGGACGAGAGCCCAGGGCGCTCGCCCTGGCTGGACGTCTCCGAGTCTGCCTTCCTAGCCGGCTGACTTACTCCCCCTAGTCTGAGCCAGCTGGCGCCCCCGCCCGCGGGGCTGCCGCCGGTAGGGGCCAGAACAGCAGCCGCAGCCGAGTCTGGGGCGGCCCCCGATCCTTGCCGCCGGGGCCACGGGAGCCGCCTTGCAGATAGCTCGTCCCTGGGCACCGATGCGCTGGGAGGAAGTGGGCAGAGGTGTAGGAGCCGTACCAGGCTGGAGGCCCCCCTGCCCCATGCCGGATGCCAAGGCACTGGCAGCTTCTTTATAGATCCCTCTCTGGGGGCGAGGTGCCCAGCTTTCGCTGCCTCCATGGGGTGGGGGTGGGGACGGAGCGCCGCGCCGGGGTGGAGAGGGGAGGGTCCGCCGTGCACTAGCAATCTCGGGAATTCAGGGTCTGAGCCCAGGGTATTTCCCATATCCTCCGGATTGGCGGACCTGGCATGTGCCCATGAGATGCCCCACCCTGCCCCAAAGAAAAGGTGTGCCTCCTGCTGGGGATGACCCGTACTAGGATCCCGGCTGCACGACCCACCATTTCCCCAAACTCATCCTTGGCTCAGACATTCATAGTGCAGAAAACAGACCTTTCTGGGGCGTGGTTGGTATGGGCTCCCCTTTGGGGCTTTCCCCTTGCTTCGGAACATATGCAGCCGGGCATCTTGGGAATCCCGAGCTAAGTGCAACCTTTGATGTTGTTGTCTCTTCTTTGTAACCTAACCGGAGGCACCCCCCCCCCAACCTCCCAACCTATGTCTTCTCCATCCTCAGTCTGGTCTCCTTTAGAAGGCAGTGGTACCTGGTCAGACCCTTAGCTCACCCTGGACTCGACCTACTTCCTTAGGGTTTGAGAAGGCCAAATCCACGCTCTTATTCCTATCAAGGGCTGTGTGACCTCAGGTTGTCGCATTTACCTTGTGGAGGCTTTGCTGGTTCATTAATACTTTGCTGGAGGTCTTGAAGGAGGTTGAAATTGCTTTGGTGAGTGACTTAGGGAGGAAAATGCTTGCATAAGGCTTGGTTTTCTGCCCTCCCCCTTCCCCAGCTTGCCATCTCTGATTTTCCCCATCTTCATTCCCATAAGCTTGGCCTCTGGCCTGAGGCAATAGCCAAACCCACCACATGAGCCTACCCAGGGACCTAACCTTAGAACCAGGGAGACCAGAGAAGTCATGGGGTGTCTGATCCCAGGGGCTGGTTACTTCCTTGTACAGTGGGTGGGTCTGGAGATGCGGGAGTCAGGGAGGTGGCCAGGTGAACCACATCTCTTCACCTTTCTGAGATTTGCCTTCCCTGCTAATTCCCCAGGGCTGGCTGCTTGGAGAACCTAATGAAGGGAGCCTGGATCCATTCCTGAGCTCATAGATTTTAGTATTTCCAGCAAGGACAGAGTTCATAACCCATTCCTGCCTGCCCATCCTGGGTAGCCCTTGTCTGTCTCTTCCTGAAACTCTGAGTAATGTGTATTAAGCCCCGACCCCCTTTACATGTGTGTCATGGATAGAGAGAGCTGGCCTCAGAGGACAGAAAGCCTCGGTTGGAGTCTCAACTCTGACTGCATGATACAGGGCCCAGCCCTCTCAGTCCCTACACAACTTTCTAAGGCTCAGAGAAATCTCAGGTCCAGCCTGGAATCCTACTACATATGTAAAAGCACTTTGTAAACAGTTGGCCCCTGTCAGCAATTTAAGGTGTGATTGTGTTATTAGATTTCAAGATAAAGATAAGAATGTAGGAATCAGGAACCCTTGGTGTGCTGATATGGCAAGAACCCTGGAGTTAAAGTCTAAGGACTGGGGAGGTCCAATTTGGGTTCTGCCACCAGGCGACTTTGGAGGAGTCTGTACTTTGCTGAGCCTCAGTTTCCTCATTTATAAACTGGAGGGGTTGAACAATTAGCCAATAAGCATTTACTGAGTCCTTGCTCTTTGCCAGGCATTGCTGAGAATATGTGGAAAGGCCAAAACATTCCTTTCCTTCACGGTGCTTACATTCTTTTTTTCTTTTTTAATTTTTTTTTGGGGGGCTAGGCATTGGGGTTAAGTGACTTGCGCAGGGTCACACAGTTAGTAAGTGTTATGTGTCTGAGGCTGGATTTGAACTCAGGTCCTCCTGACTCCAGGGCCCATGCTCTATCCACTGTGCCACCTAGCTGCCTCTGGTGTTTACATTCTAACAGGGGAGAGAAAGCATGTGTATAAACCTCTGTATACATCATAGAGGAGAGATAGAAGTTTCCATTTACCCCTCGGTCCTTTGACCCTAGTCCCTCCTCATTCTGCCACTAACTAGCCTGGTGACCTTGGACAAATCATGTCATTTGTCAAATGAAAGGTTTGGTTGAGATGATCTCTAAATCTCCAATATGGCTATGAAATTCCAGTCCTTAATAAGGACCAGAGGGCTATTCTGGAGAGGAATATTACACTGTTCCCTTCATAACTAATTCATTTGGTGGGGGGAGGGAGGGTCATAAAAATGACATGGTGCTGGTTGACTCCTTTTGGCTTTGCATTCAGCCCAGTATGTCTAGATTTATGCTGTGGACCTGTGATTTTATCAATGTAGGAAACTCCTTTCCTGAATGCATATAGGCACATTGTTTAGTATTATTATTATTATCTTAAAGAGTCCAGGGCCTTGATACATTAACTTCTCCATGTCTACATGACTCAGCATGTGTTAACAAACAGGACTTGAACTCCCTATGGCCAGCCTTCATTGGTGCCCCTGAAGTCCACTAATTCAGCATTAATTGTAGGCTCCATGTTGAAGACGTGTAGTGACAAGAGTCCTTTTGTCTTCAAAATAGTAAAAGCTCCTGTCAAACTCCCCAGATAAAGAACAAGACACAGTGACCTGGGCTCCAGGAAGTGGTCCGTGTCCTGCTGTCTGTCCTTTTGGGGGCTGGAATTGCCCAGTAGACTCTTTCATGGTGTCTGAACTGTCCAAGCTGGCATTCTCCAGTGTTCTTGTTCAGGTACAAAATGCAGGTGGGCTATCTACCTGGGTAGTGGCCGCAGTGTGTTAAAATAAAAGAATGATAGCAGTTTAGTGACTTGTCCTCAGACTATTTCTGTCAAAAGAAGGTTGAGAATGAAGTAAGAATGTCTAATAACAGTATCACACACACACACAAACACAGACACAGACACACACACACTCAAACACTCACATACACACACATCTAGCGCTTCAAGGTTTGCAAAGAACTTTACATATTTTATCTCATTCTATCTACATAATAACCTTGGGAAGGAGGTGCCACAATTATCTCCATTTTACAGAAGAGCAAACTGAGTTTCAGGTTCCCGCTACTCACGGTGACACAAAACTTCTTGGAGTCAGGATTGGAACTCTGGTCTTTCTGACTCCCAAGTCCAGTGCTCTGTCTACCTGATCACCTGGCTGCTTCTCAAGCATTGAGGCAGCACCTACAATGTGCTTCACATACCTTCTCTTTTTTGTCCCCCAACAGTTCTGTGTGGTAGGTTCTACAGAGCCTCTCTCCGTTTTACCAATGAACAAAAAGGTTCAGAGGATTTTATAGACATGTCTGTGATCAACCCAGCTAATAAGTGTCAGGGATGAAATTTGAACCCAGGCTTTCCTGACTCCCGTGCTGGGGAGAGTCTTCGGTTCTGTTAGTAGCTACTGACTCCTCCTTCATCAAGATAATGTTTTTCTATGTTTTATAACCGTTGTACTATTTTTGCACATCTAATGAGTGGCATTAACTGAGTATAATAGGCCCTGTTGCTGAGGACCTTATCAATCATTGTTGAGACATATAATGCTTACTCATAGTGTGTATCTATACTATTTTCTGAAATGTTAAAAAAAAAGATATAGATTCTCAGTTTTCTTATTACAGTTGTGATTATAGTTATTGATTCATGGTTGCACTTGATGTGTGCCTGAATGGCATTTTCATGAGTTTTTATAGTGAGAAACTATTTGTACCCTGGTGTTTCACCTTGCCCTCAGCCTCTCTGCCTTAGCCGGGCTGGTTCTCTGAGATAGGTCTTGAGCCAGTAGTTGAAACCAGTTTAGTGGGACCTTGCAGAGTTCTAGCTCCTTTTCATAGTCATTGAGACTCAGTCAGTCAATAAGCATTTAACTGCCAGGCCCTGTGTCAGACTCTGGAGAGACCAGGACAAACCAGGCCTTACCCTCAAAGATTTCATTCTATGGTCAAGGTCATCTGCACTCACCCATGAGGCATCGGGGAAGAGCTTTGGTGGAGGATGGTACGTTCAAGGCTCATAGTAAGGAAAAAAGGGAGAAAAGCTCACATTTCTCTAGCTTGCTACCTGAAGGAGAATCCCAAACCCTCTCTCTTCATGCCTGCTAAACGGGATACTGGTTTATCAGGATATATTTGCAGCAGATCTCTGTTATCTTCAGTAAACAAGGACAGGTGTGGTATGAATAATTA